AATCCTATCAATCCAAGAAAAGATTTAACTTCACGTACCGTTTATGAAATTGGTCAGCTCATTATCACTTTTACTTTCTCTGGGTTGGCTTTTATTCCCTTTCTACCTGTAACGTAACTCAAATATTCAACGTGAGGCTGTGCTATGAAACATTTATCAGGCTGCAGCTTTGAATTAGCTCTCGTAAGCCAATCTAACACAAGCTCTCGCCTTTTCGCAAGCTCTGCACTGAAAAGTATTAGCAGGAGATCTCACTGCCTATTAAATCTCGCAAATATTTTATTCATCAGGGACTGAAACGTCAGAGGCGAATTACATAAACCAAAACATAACCGATTATTATTCGTAATGCCCAAAGGGTACACCGAATGCAGTTCTCTTTATCTTTCTCCAAAACCTCCACTTGAAAAAATCCACTGAAACAGTCGAGTACTATAAAGTAACTGCTTCTATGCAGACGCCAAACGTGGCAAGAGATGTGCCTGAAACTTAGTGCATTTAAACCTCTAAATTCTATGCACATTCTACACTTCTGTGTGCCATTCATACTCCTTTTTGCAACCAATATGGCGGGGCTTGAACCTATACCTTTTTTCAACAAATTTGGAATTTGTTCTTTCATAACATCTCTTAAAGCGTACGGTACCCTACATAGAAGTTTTCTTATTGGCACTGCATTTCCTGCAACTATGGCATGAGTTACCATTTTAGTACTATCGAAATTAATGTATCCCTCTTTTATAAATACATGAGCGTAATTCTGTAAATCTGGCTCTATCATTGCTCTCTCCCTCTGGATTAAATGCTTCACTTTACTTTTTAGTACTGTCCGCACTATCGCTGTAACCCTGTTTCTTTGTCTCGAAATTTGTTCACAGTTTCCGTTGACTCGGTTAATTAGAGCTCCGGATACCTCGCGTGGATATCCTACCATCGTCTGCTTTGGAATTTCTAGGGGTTCTCGACTTGCATTAGTCATTTGCAATAATACGTGCTCTGAATCTGCCCTCGTTTCAATCGCCATAGTATCTTCTCTAGCCTGTTCTTTCAAACCCAAACTTGTACTGACGCCGTACATAGGCGCAATTGGAACGATTTCGTCTGTCTGTACTTGGTCTTGCTGTTACTTTAATGTTGAAAAATAAAATAAAGTTGAAACGTTCTAAGTGTGTCAGAAGTTGGTTAGATGGATCAAAACGTTCTCACATAAATTTGTTGAATGAAATTCGATTAGAGCCGACGGACTGGCATAACTACCTGCGAATGGATGAGGACACATTTGGAACGGTTAAACTTAGGATTTGAAGTTCTCGGTGGCTGCTTGCTAAATGCTACAAGCCTTGCCTTTACCCTCGTCTCTGCCCACACACGTTGCGACTTGTAAACATTCAGTAAGTCTCGAGGCAAGAAATCAAGCGACTGCAGATTTATCGGAGGCTCGGTTTCCGGCCAAATTCTCCACACACGCTCCGGTTTGCCTTCAGAGACGTAAGCCTTCCGGTAAGCCGTAGCGTGTGTGGCCACCCTTACAAGCGGTTCTTTGTACTGGAACGATTGACGTTCTGCGGACACGCCAGAGTCCTCCATTATGACACGGGAGGTAATGGGGGTGTAGGAAGTTAGGAGTGCTGAAACCGTGGTTAGCGGAACTATTTTTACGCCTGCCTGTTTTACTGTTGCTACCGGCCTTGTCACTCTATCGACTGTCAGTAACAAAAACACTATTTGACTTATTTTCCGCATTGACAGTCAAGTGAACCGTGTTCGCTATTTCGAGTGTCTCTGTCATTCTTTTAACCAACTAACTAGATGGATTACCGAACCCGAAGGTTCATCACCGAATTAACCAAAGCCCTCCACCGGACCCTGTCCTGGGCCAACAAAATCCAGTCTCCTTCAACTCCTATCTCCCATAAATCCCACCTGACAATATCCTCCCATCTACGTCTAGGTCTCCCCAGCGGTCTCGTCCCCTCGGTCTTCCCAACCAATACTCGGTGCACACCTCTTGTCCCATCCACGCTCGCTACATGCCCATCCCATCTCATTCTTCTCGACTTAATCACCCTGACAATACTGGGGGTCCTGGGCCAACAAAATCTAGTCTCCTTCGACTCCTATCTCCCATAGATTCCCCCTGAAATTATCCTCCCATCTATGTCTAGGTCTCCCCAGCTGTCTCTTCCCCTTAGGCTTCCCAACCAATATCCGGTGCACACCTCTTGTCCCATCCATGCGAGCTACATGTTCCACCCATCTCATTCTTCTCGACTTAATTACTTTGAAAATATTAGGGGGGAGTACAGATTTTTAAGCTCATCATTATGCAGTTTTGTTCCCAGGTATTTGTTCTTTGTAACCCTTTCAAAGGACTTATTAGCCACCCTAAGATAATTTTGCCCGCCTGTCTGCTGACGACGTGATACTAAAATGTACTTAGTTTTTTCTGAACTTAATTCTAGTCCCACCTGTCTAATAGCCTCTAGCAAAACTTCTGCGTTCCTCTTTATTGTATTCATATCGTCCCCCAATAAATTAACATCATCAGCATATGTCAATAGCTGATGTGTCCCATTCAATTGCAAACCTTCCTGCCTATCTTGGACTTTCCTGATGGCATATTCTAGGGCAGGGGTCGTCAACCTGGTCCCTATCGCCCACTAGTAGGCGATTCAAGCTTTCATGGTGGGCGGTGGGGTTTTTTGTCCGTTGTTACAAATTTTGTTCATTCTCCATATATCGAATACATTGCTAACAACTTCGCAAGTTTGACTTTTTAAAATATGCTTTTGAATTCCATCTCTAAACGTTGAATATAGATAATAATTCACCGGACACTTCTCGAAGTATACTCGTGGACGAGGGAGCAACGAATGAGCTCCGTAGCCAAAGGCACGAGTTTAGTGCGTATAACGAGGGCGAGGCTTGCCACCGGCCATCACTCAGTCTTCCAACTGTACCTCTTTCATGGTGGTGGGCAGTACGTGCGGCGCCGGTGGAGGTAAGGAAATTTTACCATCAACAAAGATACAAAAGTGGGCGGTAGGTATGAAAAGGTTGAAGACCCCTGTTCTAGGGCAAAGTTAAAGAGCAAGGGAGACAAAGCATCACTTTACCAAATGCAACTGTTACCAAAAAACAGATATGCACAACTGCTCTTCAAGTTCATGCTAATCCTTCTCAAAATACAACAATAAGAAGGTGGAAATATGTTACTCTGAGTGAAATGAAAGGATTTGTTGCTAGTTTTATAAACATGATCAACAAAAGACTAAAAGCTGCATCTTACTGATTTTACTAGCATACAAGTTTGCTTGGTTTCTTGTTCTCAACTTATCATAAAGTTTTTTCCATTTAGTTGATAAACAGAAATCTTTTGAGTCCTGGAGGATCCCTTCTGCAAAGATTCAGATCTTGATAGTCCATATCAGTTAGATTTTACGACACCAACAGCAGAACACTGATAGTTTGGTTGGAACCAAGAACCATTCATAAGTAATGTAGCTTTTACCCAAGAGAAACCACCACTGATGGGAATCAAATTATGGATGCTTAGCATTTTTTGTGAACCACAAAGCAAAGATATGATTGAAATTCAGAAGTATGGTTTAGGTCACACAGTTATAATTAAATTATTAAAATGGGGAATTTCCCTCCAATAGGTATTAAGAACAATATGTGGTCAATGTAAAACAAAGGGCTCCGTTGTGAGTGATCTCCAATGCATAAGTACAAAATTACTCATTTATATGCAGTCTTTTAAAAAAGGTTTTTGTGTGTGGAAAATTAGGTTAACAGAAACTTTTTAAACTGTCATGTGTTTTGCTGGGTAGGAACTTCAACAGGGAAGGAGGTTTCAGCCTGGAATCCAGTAATTAACCTAATCAAGCAATACAGGGTTCCACTAATCAAAAGGCAGGCCCAAGCAGAGCAATCAGTTTACTCCACCCACTAGCCACCCATTGGCTCGTGCTCAGATACATGCACAAGCCTTGGGCAGGTATATATGCGGGCTGGTGTGAGCACACAGCTGTGACTAGCCATAAAAATGAGGGCAGAGATGGCCCTTAGAACATCGGCAGAGTTACGCGGCTGCTGGCCTGAGATTTTATTAATGACATCCGCTGTGAAAGCTTCGCGTCATACAAAAAGGTGGTATTCAGTTGACACACATGGAAGTGTAAGATACTTAAAAGAAAATGAGTGTGCATAAGTATAACAAGTTACATCAGTAAGCAGAACAGTGCAGTTCTTTCTGTAAAGTAATGACAATAATACACCATCTTATAAAACATAAAAATCAGTAGCTATACTTAGAACTGAATGGACTATTACAAAATCATGACAGAATTTCTTTTTATGTATTCCTTGCACAATGTGCACGAAATGACCACGTGTCTGTCCACACGATTCAATTCAAGAACCACTGGATGGGTTTTGATGAAATCTGATTTTATGTTATGCTACTGGAGGCCACACTAAATGAGCTTTGTAATTTCCTACATTTGGTATACCAAAAAGGTGGACACATGACTTATCAGATGGGAGTGACACTATCACTAAATAATATAGGGTCATACAGTGATGTATGCCAATAGATTTTCAAAGACTACACACTATATGCACATGAAAACCATGCTTATATTATTTTCTTTGCAATGCTGTTTGTTTTTATACCCAGCACAACATACTTTGTATGGAGCAGTGAAAAGTTACAACACTGAAGTTACAAAGTCTATTTGTGGAAGCACAAGAATCTTAGTTTACATAACAGCCAGTATTTCCCATAGTAGTTACAGTCACTAACTCTCCAACTAGAGATAATGGGTCTCTGTGTTGTTTTTCCCTATTCTTTTTGCCTTTCACTGGGTGTTAACCAGAGCACACCTTAAGCAAAAGTACTATACCAACTGAAGGAGACATAACCGAATTTGCATAAAGAAATACAACATGAGGATACTGAGTATTAGTGGTATATGCTTATAAATACAAACTGCAAATGAAAATCACACAACATTTTTAATGCCATCAAACAGTATTACACATCAAAAACTGGCACCAGTATCTAAAATATTTTTAACTTTTTACTTAGAAATTAATCAGTGAAGTGAAAAACAAATCAAACATTGATAACATACGTGATAATACATGGTTATGATGAAATTTTCTGGCATTCAAGGTGCCCATGCGAATATTTTAAGAACAGTAAATATTATGAACTTATTTGTAATAAATGAAAGTTTGCTCAGTTCTTCAGAATTCATTATGCCAAATGGACACTGTAATATGAAATCCAAAGCTCTTTTTTAAAGTGTCAAGCAAAAGGTCAGTGAGTACCAAACAATCATGCTGTTGTTCACTGGTAACCGTGTGGAATGGTACAACAGGGCCCTGGTAACTCACACTTCGTAAATCTAGCACATTTGCCAATTCTATGCTGTACAGAAACTTGGTATCACCACTATATGTCTTCATCACCTGCAACAATGAATAATTTTGTAAGTAGCTGTTTATGCAATGACAAGCTTATATATATGTTAAAGTAATTATATTTTTCATATTAATTTCATGGATATCCATTAATGTTGAATCATCGCTGAATTATGTCAGCACTAGACAAGATATGACATAAAATAGGATACACATTTGGAAAGAAGACATTATACATCTTATCTTACACTTAAAGACATTTGAGTTTGTCAATAAATTTAATATAACAATATCAATGACATCACATGAAAGAGATTAATTAATATGAATAGCTTCCAACAGACCACTAAAACCATAATGAAATTAGTGGTTTGGAAAATGCTCATTGATGTTAATAAGTATAAAAAATAACATGGACACAAACTGATAAACTGAGAATATGTTCCAAGATTTCAGATGAATAAAAATAAGATCTCTGTTCTTTTCCATTATTCACCTCGAGGAAGAGAATAAACATTCATGTACACCTTGTGGCTAGTGTACAAATTAAACTATTTTCTTGCCTCTTCTGGAACAATGTTGAAAATTCAGTTCTTCCAGGACTTTTGTCTGGAGACATGAAATGTGAATATTAAAGAAGCAGCTCAGGGAGTTGACTCATAATTTCTTTGTACATTTTAAATTTCTGAGGACCAATCCATAAACACTTATGCATACTTCTTGTCTGCAGGTGTTCCTGGGTGGAGATCATGTATAAGTTTGACTATTGGGTGACAGCCACAACTCACAAGTTACCTACACAGAATACTACACCCAACCATCCCATGCAGAACTTCATGCAGGTAAGTCAATTCACAAAGGTTATTGTACAGAACGTGCTGGACATGACCCAGGAGCACATAACACTGGCAGATCAACCACAGGAACTCATCAGGCTTGTAGAACATTGTGTCAACTCCACCTTCTTTGTACACCAGAGAAAATTCAACCGACAAGTCCAAGGGACAGCCATAGGATCCTCATTATCCTCCTGCTAGCCATAAATATTCATGACAACTTTCAAAGTAGAAGCCACTGACTCAAGCTTCATGAAATTCAAAAGTTAGCACAGATGTGTGAACGATGAGTTTGCATGGTCACATGGATAAGCTCGTGTTAAGGACATCCTTGGCCACCTAAACTCCAAGAACCAATTTCTAAGTAGTAGTAGTAGTAGTAGTAGTGGGTTTTAGGTGCATCAGCTACTCTGGCTATTAGCGCCTGGTTACTAGTTAAAAATGTGCTTTTATACACTGGTGAATTACTCACCAGTTGGTCTTAGAATCATAACAAGTGGTAAAGTTTGATGTCATGTAGGAATGCTAATACTTGTTTTAAGACTTCAGCATCATCACCTAGCATTTCTCTGATAGTGGAAGGCAGGTGAAACATCTGGTGTCTGATGGTGTACCTCGGGCAGTTCAAGAGGACATGTCTGATGCCAAGTTCTACAAGGGGTACACATGGGGGTGGGTGGATTGCCAGACAGAAGCTAAGGACACCAGGCACTAGAGAACTTTGAGTTGTGACATCTCTGGCAGCAGCATTCTCTGCCTCATTACCGTTACTACTTACGTGGCCTGCAATCCATGCTACTGTAATTTAAAATCCTGTTTGGAGAGTGTGTGTGGGACATAGTACACAGTTCCAAAATAAGAGACTTCAAGGACATCAGCTGTAAAAAATGAGCTAAAAGAGTGCAGTCTAAATTTGAAGGTGTTTGTTTACATTTAAAATAAATATGGAATCTATTAATCCATTCACAACTGCATAATCTCCATAGTGTGTGAACATCTCTGTACAGAGTATTCAGAAAGTATCTGGTGGTGTGGATGCCTTGTGAAAGTTGCAAAGGTGAGTGTCACAATGGGGAGTGTCTATCAAGAATGATGGCGTATTGGGGATTCTAGAAGGTATGATGGTGGGTGTGGTGATATGAAATGCTTCCAAAAGCTCCTTGAATCTAATACCTGTCAGATGGGTTGCCTTGGATTGATTAAAAATCTTCATTTTAGAGAGGGTTGGTGAACCGCACCATACGAGGGGTGCTTCTTGAGGGCAATCAATTTAGCAGCATAACTGAATAGCTGAATTTGTTGGAGTGCAGGGTCTTCTGATTTTGAGTACAGAGATGCATTGCTGAGGTGTGGATAGGATCAAGTAAAGATAAAATTAGTTTTTATGCAGAAGCATAGATGAGTGATCTGTAATCAATCTGTGAGTGAACAAGACAATGATAGAGCCTTAACTCTGCCTTTCTGCTTGCTCCCCAGGCAGCGGTTTAATATAAATATGTAAAATGTTCAGTGATCAGCTGACATTTCATCCTAAGTTGTCGAACCTGCATTGACCTGCGGCCCCCTCCACCCGCCAGTATTCAGGATGAAATATGCCTGAAGAACTGGATGAGGAGGCAGTGGCAAGTCACAAGGAGCTCTGAAAGCCCAGGGTAACCACCTCCAGAGGTGAATCCCATAGTTTGCCAACTTGGAAGGCACTTGTGCTGACTGATGTCACCCACCAGCAATAGAAATGGGCTGATAATCAGCAAGTCAAGGAGGCTGTCTCTGAAATGATGGCCAAGTAGGCACAACTAGTGGTCCAATTACTCAGCTACCCTGGCTGAGGTTTTCGGTCCTTTCCTCAGATGTAAGACAAATGCCAGGGTATAAATGAAAAGGTGCACTGCTTGCCTTCCCCAATCATGAAGGCCTTCAGCTGAAGTGATTCCCCCCTCCCTAAGTCATAAAGGTCATCTGCCAAAGCAACTGCAACACTTCTTGGTTCCAATCCCAGAGAGCCATCCAACCAAAATCCTTAACACAAGGGACAAGTTGCCTAGTGGGACGATCTCCCACCAGCAGCCATAGCCCCTAGTTTGAATAGGCAAGTCCATATGCCATGAGATAATTCTCTTTAGCATTAGCACACCCCCATTACCATTTCCAGTAATGCATTTCATACGCAGGAATGGTGTAGCCTAGCAAGGGACGTTATCTTGTGCATGTAGAGGACTGCACCCTTAATTAGCTGTATGGTTGGTTGATCCCACTCATATTCACCTTGAAAATGGCAAATGCTATGTTTTGCCAAAATTCTGGCTACTACCAAACATTCGACGCGGCTCTCACTCAAAAGCCAAAGTTATACACTTAATGCATTCTAATTTTATCTGAAAGTGTACTGAAATGCTAGGGCAGACAGAAGGACACAGTACTACAAGTTATTTCATATCAATCAATAAATCTGATGTGATGCTTGTCAGCAACCTTGTATCATGTGCTGCCTGCAACATCAACCACACACTGCCTCAAATAATGAAACATTTTAATATCACAATATGGAAATATTCAGCCAATAAGGTCAGAAAGCACCAACACCATATGGAGACACCTAACTGATAAATGCTAACAAGGTGAGTGGAGATACTACTTACTGGACAGTGTTTAACAAACTTCACTCATGTTACAAATTAATAGATCATGCAACATCAATGAAAGTGTAAGGAATTTGTTCTGAGTGGCTTGAATGGAAGCCAGTACTTAAATATGTAATGTTTACACTTAAGATATAAACATTTTATTTAATTAAATAATTATCAAGTTAAATATGAGGTGCTACATACCTGTACCCACAGACGTTTATTTTGATCAGATCCTTTATGACAAAGAAAGAAGCAGCCCCAACCAGGAAGATCAAAGGCATGAACAAGTGACTGGAAGGAACATTTACTCATAGTATGAGTGAATTTCTGCCTGTAAATAAACAGAGCACTTTATTAATTGTACTGTCACTGTTTATCATTCAAGTATGTAACTGTTGATTACCTCACTGTTCACATTCATAATTAAATTTGGTGTAAAGTATTAATTGATACAAATATAAGACTATACAGTAACTTGCAACAAACCTTATTATTTTGAAAAGCAATTATAATACAATAAAATCTCAATATAACAAATTTCTAAGGACTGTAATGGTTCTTCATGGAAGGTATGCTGATTTTCAGCACTTCATACTCTGCTGTTGTGGCTATTAACATTATCTACTTAAATGGAATGAAGCTTCATCACTACAGAAAACATTATCTAAAATGTCTATACCCCCTCAAATATAGTGTGTAAACCATCTGCAGTAATGAAATAGTTTTTCCTTATCAAGTTCCTCAACTTCATGCATGACATGTACTTGGTGTGGATAAAGTTTAAAAAAATTTGTGTACACTTCCATAAGGTAATCCACTCTAAACAGAATGTTTTCTCAGCAGCATTCATGGAGAGCATACAAAAGTTTGATGGATATTATCCAAACTGAGACATTCTTCATCAAGAACGGTCTAAAACAAGGAGATGCTTTGTCTCCCTTGCTCTTTAACTTTGTGCTAGAATATGCTATCAGGAAAGTCCAAGATAGGCAGGAGGGTTTGCAATTGAATGGGACACATCAACTATTGGCATATGCTGATAATGTTTATTTATTGGGGAACGATATGAATACAATAAAGAGGAATGCAGAAGTTTTACTAGAGGCTAGTAGACAGGTGGGGCTAGAAGTAAATTCAGAAAAAACCCAGTATCTTCTCTACATACTATTCTTATTTCCTTAAAATTTCAAAACTTCTCTTTAGAATCATAAATATGGATGGCAATACTTACCTTTTAGGTATATCAAAGAAGTTCCTAGTTATCAGTTGACTATGTGAAGTTTTTAAATGGACCATCATGTCCTTGAAGCTATGAGCTTGGTTACAATTATCTACTAAGCAGGTGTATGCACGAAAGAGACATGTCTTTTCATGCTCAGCCTTGTCTACCTGATTCACTGTCTCAGAACACCCACTGACACGATATTTGCATGGCAATGGCAGCTTCTCTATCATTGCCTCTGCAAAATAGTTACGTGTTTTTGATTTTAAGGACTTGCACAATGGGCATGAGACAACTCGTTTCCAGCAGTGGTTACACATGTGATGACCCCTTTCACATTGAAAAACAGGTGATGTAACAATTTCAAGACATACTGGACACTCCAGGATCTTCCACATATCAGTTAAATTATTTCCACCTTCCTGGAATCTTTCTGTAGTCTGAACTTCCTGCACATAGAAGAAAAGTATAACTTACTACAGACAAAATGTAACATTTCTCCTGCAGGGTGGTATACAAAATGTTTATCCTTCTGAATCCTGCACAAAAATACTACATGTCACATACACACCAAGGACACAAGCATAGAAAGTTGATTTTAGTGCATAACATGTTCAATATAACTCCCAATCTGCTCATTACCTCTTCTAAACAAACTTGTATATCTGTAACATTCAAGAAAATGATGAGAAATAATTCTGGAACCAGAGGTTTCAACAGAATATCAAGGACCACATTAACATGGTGTGGCATGGCTCCATCTTGCATAAACCACTGGATACTGATCTGCAATCCTGTTCAAATAAGTTATGGCCTTTGACTGTTTCATAAAAAAAAATGCCTGAATATTCTGTGGTTTGATATGGTAAACCACATGGTAATTTTGTTGCCATAAGAGTTTCATGAAGCTGGTGTGGATGTTCCATGGCCCAGAAATAAACATTTTTCTTGTTGACAATTCTACCAAATGGTAATGGAGAACCATGTTGTGGAGATATCTTCGTCATGTCTTGTCGAAGTATCAAAATGAAGCCACAGTCTTTGTTACATTAAGCAAGCTTATGCAACACTGTTATCTTATATAGAAACATAGAGAACTTAGTGTAGAATTTGCTAAGCTGAACTCCCCAGTTCAGCTGATGCTGTTTTCATTGATTTACTAAGGCTTCCACTGCATTACCACTCTCAGAGTGTCCATGTTTTTTACCATACAGACACTTGAAGCATGAGGCTTTCTTCACTCCAACACCATATCCTCTTCAAATTGCATCTTGAGTTTGTGACTTACTCATTTAGCAAGAGACCACCTAGTGCCACAATGCACATGAAAATGGCTCTGTACCACAGCAAAACTCAGCAGCACTCTGAGAAAGTTTAAATTGAAGATTGCTGTCTTCTGGGTTATTGCACCATGTAGTCCGGTAGAAATCTACCAGACTACATGGCGCCACTGAAAACCTCAAATCCTACAAAGTTTAAATTTCATTTAAATCCATGTGTGGAAAGCCCAGGAATTCAAACGCTTCGCCTGAAAGGTTAACATCTGCAATGGCTTTAAACCTTGTCCTTCCTCACTTGAAACTGTTACTATTCATGCTCATACTCAGAATTTTGGAGATGTTTCTTTATTCACTTCTGGTTTACCACACAAAAATTGGCACAGATTTTTCACATATAGAAACCAAAATAATAATCTGCAGTAACAAAGTTTTCTATAAAGTATAAATTCAATTACAATGTACTTACTTTGTTAACCATAATGGCCACACTTTCTGAAACAAACAAAAAATCAATTCAAGTCAGTAAACCAACACACTGTAATACCTTATGAGCTAATGTAAGAGAAGTTACTAGGGTATACCCAAAGGCAAGATTGTATATCTCAGCAAACGTGACTTTAAGTCCCTACCATGGGTACAAACTGCCCATGTCTCTCCGCTCTACAACTGCAGGCTTCAGGGGACTTCTTGTTGATTACATCATGTCCCCTTTCAGCAGTAAGCCGTTGGTACCACACAATCCTGTGTGCATAACAAATCTACAGGGGTGGCAGTGGAGTATTAGACTCCTTGGAGTCTATGAGTGTGTACATGAATTGAGATAGGGTTTCTGATACCAGGATCTTATTACTGGGGGCAGTGAGAAGTGTGCATTTAACCTTCACTTCTGAGTTCCACATGTTATACGCCAAAGGCTGTGGGCAGTACAACTGAGATAGGATAGATCCTGGTGATGAGGCAGGAGTTCATAATGTATGGGGCCTAAAATATATGTACTGTTTATAAACATAAAAGGGGAAGAAGCTGTCACACACAGCACATGGTGGAGCATGATTCAGACATGCCAAGTATGGGAGGTGTTCAGCAAGAGGACAAATTTATAAGTAGAAAAGGTTAATTAGAGAGACGGCTAGATGGAATTTGAAAGTGGAATGAGATATGACAATGGAAAGGAAAACTTGAGAGCCCCTTTGCATCACCCTGTCGGGACGCAGACCGACCTACCTCAATGGACCCATTAAACAGTATATGGTTTAAGCCAAACGGAAATATGTTGTACCATTATATCATTATACTGCTAAAAATTGTATACATCCAAACCAATACCATCTTGAATTCTTCTTGGGCTATCAGCCGTGTGAGGTCACTTATTAAAGAAAATACCATTTTGAGAACAATGTTTCCTACAATAAACCACCTTACATGGCTGGTAGACTGAGAAGAATTCATTATACTTAGTCATCATGAAAGCTTCACATCACACAATACCACTGTGTGTGTCTAAAATGTTTCTAAGACTTCACAGATTATCAGATTAATTTGTAACTGATATATTCGCTTTAAGAAAAGGTTTTCTTATTCAGTAATAATAAAATCTGTTTAGTGTAGACCGTATCTTTGGTTGCACTCCATCTGTACAAATATTACATATTCAATGAACTTGAAAGGACTGGGATTATTTTATCTCAAAGCCTACTGTATCCTCATAATGGAAGGTTTTGTTTAGTCTGGCTTCAACTGTGACAATCACCAGGAATAGCTGGCTGGGTAGGTTCCAAGGTCATGTAGGAAACAGAGACCAAAAGTATCCCACCATGCTGCAGACTGAACTTCAGCCATACATATAATGGTACTAATATACTTTTAAAAATTAAGGAATGCAGTATGGTGTAGGTTTTGAGGTTCTCACGGCAGTGAATACAAAGACGATTGTCTTCTGATTCAGTGCCCTGATGTAGAGACAGCAAGGACCTCTAAGACACTAGTAAACTTCTACCAGACTAAATGGCACCACAACTAAGACAGCCATCTCAGCATGCTGGATGTGCCAGGAACTGTCGAAATATGGCTACAGTATACTGACTTTTAACACACAGCCTGACAGTGTACCAAACTGGAATGATTTGGATGATAGAGATAATAGCATTCACAGAAATCCAGCATAAAAATAGGTTATAAGATAAAATTAACTTAGAATCCATGTAAAATAACAGAATGTAATGAGAGTGAAGTCACGTGAACAGAATACCATCTAAGATATAAATACTTATAACCTTTTAATGAAATAACCTGTTTGTTTCTTGGAGTTATAAAATTGTAGTCTCAGTTCTTCAAATGACAGGGATGAATATTCTGGCATTGCTGTGATGTGCTGATGTTGAACAACAATTAATCTGACAATTCCATTCTCAATTTGTGTGTCTGTATCTTTGACAACATTGAATAGCGCTGATGGTTTGTGTAGTGTTCTATGAAAACCTACAAATCATAAGGAAAAAATAATTAGTCTCCAAGAAATGGGGAAAAAAAAGTAGAAAAAATCCCACAGCATGACCAAAAAATTATGGTGTGGTTTTCAATATTACATATTTATGAACAATTAATGCTACAAGCATGCGTAAAACACAGAGCAAAGGAGAAACCGAAATATTATCTATGCTGCTTCTAAAGTTCAGTGTAAGGTTCTGTCAATTTTCACACTTGATAACACTTCATTTATGTAGTCTGCATGGGTAGAAACATAGTCAAGTACGGTCTTGAGATCATGCTAAGGATTCAGCCCTCTCCTTCTCCAATTCAATGCACTGAGAAATGCTCATTTATACCTATACAGTGCAGGAAGGTACAATCTCCATAACACTAAAACATCATTCTTATAAATTGAAATTTGTGGTTTACATCAATTTTTTTCCACAAAACTCTAAATGAACATTATGCAGGATGGTGGATAGAAGAGGTGTGAAATATTGTCCAACTTTGTCTCCAAACATTATTATTTTTACCCATGGGACTATACACAACTCATGAGAGAATTGAAAGAAAAAAACTGTTTTGATTAAAGAATCAAATCAACCATATGGTTGAGAGTGGAATTTTATAATCTCAGCCAGGAATGGTAAGAATTGTAAAAACAAAATGAGCATGTGTGCAAAAGCAACAAGTGGGACTTTAATTTAACTTAATTAAGAACACATGCAAGTTTTGTGTTCCATTCATGTTCTAACACTAACCATTACAAAACAGCAGAGCTTTAAAATCACACCAGAATGTTACACATTTCCCAAAAAGTGACAATGTCTAACAAAATACAAATTTTGTATCCTTTCATACTGTGTGGTTCTGTACATACATACATGATACATAAACCAACTACCTTTTGTACTTGTGTCAAACTTTATTTATTTAAAAACCACAGAAAAATGTACAAGTATGGACAACACAAAATGTTTCATTAGAAAAAAAGGCCAGTGTCTGAATGAAGTGAACATGACCACCTTGAATGCTTTCCATGACCTATTGCTAAAATTTAGAGAGACTGGCATGAACATTGATACCACAATGCAAAGAGGACATACAATTAAACATCAGTATAGCACAATGACCAGACTAGACGAGAGCCTATGTAGATCTATACCAAGCCCATTAATCAAATCTGTTATACTGGACAAAGCAACCACAAACCTCTCCATTCAACAACAGTCAACACTAAGGTGCAGGATACATAATAATCATGAATACCAACACTACCGTACATGGCTAGGATTGGAATATACCACCTCCACAAGTAATACTGACAGCAAGCACAACTAAACATTATCTAAACACCTGAAATGAGGAGGAAGCACCAAGGAAATGGTTAAATCAAACAAAGTGAAGTGGTACAAGTGTTGCAACCAATGCTTTTATTCACACACACGCACACATATGCAGCACACATGAGTAAAAGTACCCAACTGCAATAATGGGTCAATAAGGTGAGCAAACACTGATGCAATGTATTTTCACATTTTAATCATCTTTGAGCATGCTCCATACATTTTTATACAAGTCTGACATTACTGTAGGG